GTTGCCCTGTGTGAACTCTTTGCTTGGTTGGAAAAGGAGGTATTATCATTTTTACAGAACAGATTACTCCCACCTGTATTCACATGGTTCCCACAAAATTACACAAGGCCGTAAAGGTTTTTAAATGAATGGATAAGTGTAAAATTTTGTATAATTTTGGAGGTGTTTGCTCAACTCAAAAAATATAATAAATATTTTGCTATGTTATGTGTACTGATATAGCAACTGTTTTAGAATTACTATTTTCTCACATAAATGAGTAATTGATTACAATTGATTCCCAATCTGCCTTTTTGAACAATACCTTCTTATATTGTAGGAAACAAATCTTAAAGGGTAACTGGAAAGTCACTGAGATTTATCAGTGTGAGTGTGGGAGCCTTGGGCTCAGGTGATGGTTATTATTTTACTGCTGCGTGAACTGAAGAATATGCCAGTGTTATTAAAAACTTTTCCGCGTTACTGGTTGTTGTGATTATGGGTTTATAGATTCCAAAAGGCACCGTGACAGAGATCTCTGCCGCGGATAAGGCTGAAGAATTACGCAGGTGGGTTTTTAGTGCATGTTTTACAAAATATTGGTTTTCTGTTTTGGTTGGCGAGCTCACCCAGTTTAACCTCATGTCAGCTTTCATGTTTGAAAGGCTTATTGTTTGAAAGATGCCATTTGAACTGTTTACTGATGGGGACTTTTCTAGAGTTATATCTCCCTCTATTGGACATGGAAGTGTTGCAAAATGTGTACCAAAGACCTTAAAATTAAGATGCCTTGTTCAATTTCAAACTGTTTCACTCTCAGTGTGCTACCTTTTGAGCAAGAGTAATATGTTTATCATTCTAAAAGTGTAATATTTCTATTACGCTCTTACAATAGTTTTTTCCCTTCCTGTCACTGAAGAGTTCCTAAAACATTTTTACAAGATTTTATTACCTGTAATCAAGATTTGTGCATTCCTGTGTGAGAGAGTTCCCTTTCTCAAGGATACTGTGTCTTTTCCAGTCAACAGAGAGATTTTGTTGGCCTCAGTTTCCCCACAATTTCCAGTGTCGGTCCGAACGGAGCGATCATACATTACAGGTCAGTTGGCAAATGAAACCGAGCCAGATGTATTAAATTTGTCTAGCTGCATATGCAGTTTTAGAGTAATAATTTATCCATGATTTATTTCTTTTTCCTTTAGACCACTGCCTGAAACCAACAGAACCCTCTCCATGAATGAAGTGTACCTGATTGACTCCGGAGCTCAATACGTGTAAACAAAATAATTATTATACACATCTAGTAAGGCAGGTCTAGTATTAATTCAGACAGTCATCACCTCCATACCAAAAACTCAGACAACATAAAATCAGTTTTTTGTGCATTACATGTGTATGTATCAGCATCAATATTCTGTCTTTGGCAGTGATGGAACCACAGACGTCACCCGCACTGTGCACTTTGGGACACCATCTGCTTTTGAGAAGGTAAATTTACCAGTGCTCTGTTTTCACTGTCACAATAAGTCTAATCTGAGGTTTACAGTTTAATTGACTGAGGCTTCAGTCAATGTACCTATCATTGTAGATTTACTGAATTTATCATAACCATGATTTTATTTTATTTAATATGTTGTATTATGTGCTCTCTCTTTTTCCTCTAGGAATGCTTTACCTATGTGCTGAAGGGACACATAGCTGTCAGTGCTGCTGTTTTCCCAAATGGAACGAAAGGTGATGTCGTCTACTCTGATACAAGGGTTATCTTACACTCTATATAGTATATAAAGTGTATACCAGGATTAAACATTACATTTTTACTTCAAAACATGTTCATAAAACAGATAAAGCTCAAATAATTCATTCAGATATACATGGTTCCTAAATATTCTCTTAAGTAAATTTTATTAAGTCTCAGCCAAAAAAAACAAGCCAACAATAATTACATCTGTCATCACTGACTTATCCTGTTTAGTCAGAAATCTGTGTCATCAAGCACAAAGGCAACTGGAGATTTTCCAGCACAAACACTGTTTAGAGAAGAGAGACAAAGTCTGCTCTTGTTAAACTTCAAGCCAATATGATTGCACAATTGACCTTTAATTATAGCATTCCCATGAGGCAAATTAGTTTTAGACACTGGAAACATGTTATAAAGATAGAGCATGTCATAAAGTTAAATCTGTAGTAAAAATTCATTCATTCATTATACAAACATTTGTGCATCCAGCATGCACTGGATAGAAGGTAAGGGAGTATCCTAACTAAAACAGTGCTAACACAGTGACAAAATCACTTAGTTTCACATTTGGGAAAAAATGTGTTTAACTGTTAAACACATTAAAATATGTTTTAAAAAAAAACCAACTGTTTGTGTGATATCTAGCACTGACCCTCCGTCCCCTCCCCAGGCCACCTGTTGGATTCGTTTGCCCGTGCAGCTCTGTGGGATTCGGGGCTAGACTACCTCCACGGTACGGGCCACGGCGTGGGCTGCTTCCTCAACGTCCACGAGGGGCCCTGCGGCATCAGCTACAAGACCTTTGCTGATGAACCTCTGGAGGCTGGCATGATCGTCAGTGATGGTATGGCAGAGGGTGGGGAGGGGAGTGCCTTCTTTTAGCAAGTTTTAGCAAGTGAATGTTACTGTAGCTGGACTATACTGTAATGTCTTTAGATTCATACTGTAAATGGTGAATAAATAATGTATGTTGTGTTGTGGAAAATGCACAAAGGCATGCAGGCATATATACAGTGTCGAAATGCTACTGAGAAGAGTTGGTCAGCTTCCTCACACCACTTCTAGTGATAATGACAGTAAGGACGATTTAAAACAGAACCAGTGTAATGAAAGCATTGAATTACACACTTTGTTTGTACTGTCACTTTGAAAGCAACAATATATGCCCATAATGCTAACTGACTGATGATTCATATTGGAGACGTTAACTACAGGCCTTGCAAATCAGAGTCAGAATCAGGTTTATTGCCAAGTAAGTTTTCACATATAAGGAATTTGCCTTGGTACATTGGTGCATAAGAACCACAAACAGCGTAGAAAAATATAAATAGAGATAAGATAAAAAATGTAGACAATAAAAGGATAAACGTCATATCACTTTTGGCTGACAGAGCCAACAGTAACAAGTCTTCACAAATGTCTCAGTAATGTCATACACTGGCTTTAGGCTACACTGCAGGAATTAGCTACAGGTTGCATGTGTTTCTTTTCCTTGTCAATATAGCAGTACTATAAATAATATAAAAATACTGTCCTTTGTTCACTTGCCTTTGATGCAATGTCACTTTTAGGTCCCCAAAACTGTTTTTTTGTTCCTTTTCTGTGTTTATCATCTAAAATCTATTCATGTTTTCTAGAACCTGGGTACTATGAAGATGGATCTTTTGGCATTCGTATTGAAAATGTGGTCCTTGTGATACCAACTAAGCCCAAAGTAGGTCCTACAACTGAGAAAGAGGCCTAATGGAAAGAAAAGAGTTGCTCTGGTACCTTATTGGTAATTGTTTGTTCTCTTGTCTTTGTATGTTCAGTACAACTACAGAAACCGAGGCAGTCTGACATTTGAGCCCCTCACTCTGGTTCCTATCCAAGTCAAGATGATGAACACAGAGCTGCTCACTCAGAAGGAGGTGAGGAATATCCAGTGGAATTATGTTTAATATTTTAAACAATCAAGGACACATTAACCTGCATGAAATTTAAAATTCATCTCACAAGGATTTTATTGGTCATTTGATAAACACTTAAAAATACAACACAATAAAAAGCCTACTTAACAAGAGTTGGAAAAGAAATGTGAGAAATAGGAACAATTTAGCTCAAGATGACCTATATCAAAATCATTTCTACTACATTATGCACTACTAAAACACAGTCTCATCATGGTTTGACGGCCACTCTTCTCTGTCCTGCAGCGGGACTGGGTGAACGAGTACCACAGGAAGTGCCGGGAGGTGGTTGGAGCAGAACTGGAGAGGCAGGGCAGGAAGGACGCACTGGAGTGGCTGATCAGGGAGACCCAGCCAATTGTCTGAGGACTCACTCTTGTGCAATCTGATTCTTTTACCCAGGAGAACTGAACGACCGATTGCTCTGCAGTGATAATCGTTTGTATTTTTCTCATCTTTTTCTGTGTCTCACACTCGGCTTCTTTTGTAAAGCACATTGTATCTGCAATTTTATTAAAGATGATTAAAAAAAATCAAGAAGGAACTTTGCTGTGATTACTGCCTTGTGTCTCCAACATAATAAGCTTTTCTTGAACTATGACAGCTTCCTGTTCCGCTTGGCAAAGCTGCATTTCTGAGGTTATACAGGTTCATTTTTGTAAACCCAAATGTGGAAGAACTTTCTTAAGATATAGAAAATATAAAAAATGTTGTCCTGTGGAAAGTTATGAGGATTGAGCAGAACAACATCAGTATGTGCAGTATTCTAATATCATAATATACCTTTACAGAAGAAATCCAGAAGGACCATTTTAGCATTATACATGATTATTAGGCCTCTGTAATCCTGTACAATTTGCACCTTTAAAATTAAAGGTAGCTTGATGAGTGTTCTGTTTACATTCAGTGTTTCTCGCCAAAAGGCATTGTGTGTATTCTTGAGGCCTGACAAACGCGATGAATGCATTTTCTAACTTGTAAAAGATTTGTAAAGCCATTTAAAAAACATAGTTCAAATTCAGCATTGTTTACATCAATGTTCACTAACTGTCAATCAGTGGAACAGCCAAAACAGATGTGGATCATGTTGCCATGTGATACGAACAAAACTGGGACCCGCTAATGAATGCTCCATATCCCTACTAGTGGTCAAAAACTCCACTGGGTACATTAAGGTCCTGCATCTATCTTTTAGGGACAGACCACTGTTGTTAGACTCTCTATTAGCTGAGACTTATAGCCAGTGATATCAACACAGGTATTCTCCAATATCAGATACACATCCTTGTTTGCTCTTGCACCCTCCAACTTACTGTGGAGTTATTAAAGGGTTACACCAGTGATTTAGTATTTAATGGGACACACAAGAGACTAATTAATACAAAGAACGGTCAAAATTGAAGCAACAGTGGAAGAAATATCCTCAATTTAAGTCGATAGTATTGGACTGAAACCTACATTTCCCATAATGCAGCTTGATAGCATTGTAAGCTCCTTGCCTGGCAAATAGGCACGTCTTTCAAACTTCATACCAGTGTCTAGAACATAGGTTGTCTGTTGTAAGTTTGTAGTCTCAAATCCTTTGCTGAAATAACAATAATTATGTTCCTAGACTTGAGCTACAGAGGACATTATACTACTGTTTTTTACAGGATGAGTAGTACTCACTAAACTGAATGTTATTGCCTCTTTATTGGCCTGTACATGTTGACATTTTGATAGACACAGTCACAGAGATCAGGTCTCAGACCTTTAAGATTCTCCCTCCTACCCTCTAAAGCTGCATGTAAAAAATTGGAGGGTCCAGGATGACGCCACTGTTTGGATCGTTGGCATACTCCTGAAAAGACAGTTCAGTTTGCTCCTCTCGTCCTTGTGGGGCTTTGGTTTCCCCCATCTCCTCTTCCTCCTTCAGTCCTACAGGCAGCGGGTTACTGTAGATGTAATAGATCCTGGAGTTGTCCTTTGCTGCCTCTGGTTTCCTGAAGAAGGCCAGAGGGTTGATGAAACTGGTCGACCTCTTTACCGCTTTGACCGCCACAGGGTCCAGCGGCTCGCCTCGGGTCACTGCACTCTCATAAACGTGGGCTCTCTTTGACTGCCTGGTGAAAAAGATGGCAGTGAATGCACTAATGAGTTTAATGTAATTTCACATGGCATTGTGCTCTATTTGAATTTACAGCCAAGTACAGCTGCAATTTAAATGTCAAGTGTTTGCAGGGATGATTTTAAAGTATTAAAGTAGATCTGATATCTGATCCTCACCTGCTGCGGTTGTAGCAGACAGTGATGCAGTACAATCCGGTGATGGTGAGGATACATAAGGCCAGGGCAATGATGACAATATTAAACACTTTGAACTCTGGATAGAAGAAAAAAAAAGTTTCACTTTGAAGAAACATCATTCAGTTCAGTTAAACTTTTATGGTGACAGTACTGTGAATTTAAACAATGTAAATGATATAAAAGAATACAACGCACCCGAGAGAGCTGTGTTCATCTCCTGGTCATGTAGTCCCAAAGCTGCCGTCTTGTTTAGAGGGAGGCTGTCTGCCGTCATTGCTCGGTCCTGTTGGGCTCCACTCATGTTGCTGCCATTGGCTTCCAAAACATGGACTAAAGGCTGAGCTTCAAGACTCTTCTCACTGGGTTTCAATAGAAACCCAGGTCATGTGACTCAAACAGCTCGACTCAGTCGCTGTGGAGACACCCCCTCTTTAATCACCCCCTCAGTTCAAGTTGGATACCACCCCTCCTCTCTCTCTTCCCCTCTACTCCCCTTGTTTACTGCTCATTATTCTGCTCAGCGTTTTAGGGGGACACTGAGGGGAGGGAGGTGGTAGGCCTTTTATACTGCTTGCAATAAGTTCTGAGTGGTGACCTAAAACCAAAAGAGTTGCCTGCGTCCAGCTTGCAAAGACCACCGACAGCGAGAAAGGAAGCAATGAGGGACTCAATTACAATTAATTTAAAATATGGTGTTCTCATGAGGTTTTTGTTCTTAAAAGCAATCCTCTGATGTCAAATGTCAGAAAATGTTTTTTTTTAAAGAAAGAGTCCAATATTATATCTATAAATTGTTTTGTCCGACCAAAAGTCCAAACAAACCAACAAAGATATTCAGTATTTATTCACAAAAAGAGAAAGCAGCAAGTTCTCATGTTTAAGACGCTGAAGATGACTTAAGCAATTAATCAATTAAAGATTTTCTATTGATTAACACCTTCAGAACTGTATCAAAACACACAAGACGTCAATAAATAATAAAAACAATAAACTTTCTCCTGCAGAATAACAACTTAAAATCGAATTTCAGTGAAACTTGAAATTGAGATCTTTGATCTTAAACAGCATTCAAAACACAAGCCTCAAACTGACTAGCCATGACTGTCGTCCTTTTACGCCTGCTGTCTTCGTGCTCACCCCAGCTTGTTTCAAGGACAGAGTATAGTGCACCAAATCACTCAACCACCAGGACCAGATCCACAGGCTGATGGTTCCAAATGTCTGCGAGAGCCAAACTAGGCAAAAAGGCAACAACAAAGGCAGCATTCTCCTGTCTCCTTATGCTTCACTTCACCCTGCAGCACCATGGGAGATATTATGCAATTAGTCCAGCATCTAATTAAAGCAGGGTTTTGTTTCCCTGTTTGACAAGACAAGCTGCTGTATAGAGGGAACCTCTTTGTGTCATCCTTAGGTGGAGCTGCTACATAAGATGATACATATGTGTTTAAAGCTTTTGTATTTATGTTACTGTATATGATTGCACAGAGATTAATCCATGCATACACGGCAGTATCTGGTTAAGGCCACCATCAAAGTATCAATGATGATGCCATTTTTACTGAGCTCATTAAGTGCAGTATATACATGGAGTCCTTTTATATAAGATATATCTCAATCATTTTTTTTACTAAAAAGTAAAAAGTGCTGAATAGACAGTAATACCAATAAAATAGCATTAGGGTAAGCAACGCTCTCTATTATAAGGATGTTTCTATTTCCTGCTCACTTACTGTCTATTTCTTATTGATATCCATCTGGTTTTATTTATTATATGTTTGTAAAAAAGAGATAGCTCTCTTTGTATGCAGAACTCTCTTATGCTCTTTTAATTTCAATTCTAGAGATTAAATATGAGAGAAATATTGATAGCATTAACAAGCTGTGATCTAAACTATTTAGCTAGGATGTCCATTACTGGAACAAAAGACAAGCTGCCTTCACTTTTCACACATGACTTTAACTTCATTAGGTATTTAATAGAGGGAATATCAGGTCTTTCTATTTCAATAATTAGAAACTGCATCATGTAACTGCAAGTCAGATTGAATTGAATCAGAAATTTCCTCTTTCTTTCAAGGCAGCATCTTTTATGTTTCCTCCACTAGGTGTCAGACCTTGCCTGTATGTCTGTACCTCAGTCTGGAATCAACATAACTCAGTAAAGGACCAGTCTGCACTATTTATCAGTCAGGCAGCTTGATGGTGAGTGACAGTGGTGGCCTTTATATTCCAAGTCAGCCTACAGTAAAGAAAAACAAAGACAGAAAGAGATTGACTGATTAGGAAATAAGCCGTGACACAGAGGCTGAAATATCTGTTTATTAGCCTCCTAAACTTCTTTAACGCCTGTTTAATTTTCACATCCATCCTGCCTCTCAGCGGAGTTGAGCTGTTTTGATTTAAGGGGCATGTGGGTGGCATTAAGTTGGTATGGTTTATTTGAGCAGACCGGTATGCATAAACTAACTCTGTCTGTGGCAGCTATCATGGGAATGAGACCGGGAATATTCCAACTCAGTGTTTCTCAGTTTCACCCAAAGCTCAAATATTAACACAGTGGAGGAAATTATGCTATTTATCATGATGGATAATCAGTTGTGGTGGGAATAACTTCAGTACTAGCAATTACTCAGTTTGTTGTTTTTCTTTTTACTTTTATTGAAGGTGTGAGTCATTTGAATCATTATTGTAGTATTTTATAATTATTTTATATAGTTACTGCCGGAGCTTTAATGACATTTATTTATAAATAATACCACAGTACTAACTGAGAAGACCATTTACATGTTTGTGGTCTGACACTATTATTCAGAGAGATTTAAGTATTATATATATATATTAAAAGCATGCACACTCATAATTTACTACTGTGCTTTGTTCAACTTTGATAAAAGTGAAGTGAGAATTGATGTTGGAAAACCACTGATTAGGTATAAACTGACAATGCTCCAAAAAGAGATGACAGTCATCTGGTTTTGCTTTGCACACTTTATTGAATTTGTTTCCAGTTTAAATAGTCCAGTTTGACCCCTTGTCCTTTCAGAGTCACATGAAAACAATTACATCCGACAGTGTTCTCCTTTTTTAAAATTCCTGTTACCTTTATTGAGTACTTTTTTTAAAGCTACTTCACTCAAGTACATTTTTACAACACTGTTTTTGAGTTGTGTGTGTGTGTGTGCGTGTGTGTGTGTGTGTGTGTGTGTGTGTGTGTGTGTGTGTGTGTGTGTGTGTGTGTGTGTGTGTGTGTGTGTGTGTGTAAAGCTGTTTTACATGAGTGTCCTGGCCGACAAAGCAGAAGATAAAACATAAAGGTTACAAAGCATATAATACTCACAATGAGCAGATAAAGCATGAGGACAATAGAAAAGGATCACAAAACAAACACAGTCAAACAATGGTGTGAGGTTGATATATATATATATATAATATTCCATAGCAAAGGAATGCAAATACAGATGTTGTACTAAGTGGTTTTAAATCCTTAAAAATCAATATATTTAAAAAATAAATATTACACTAAGTGTACACCACATAAACAGTTTAGAAACACTGACTATAGCTCCATTGGCTCACGTCCAATTCAGTAAGAATGCTGTTGAAATCATGCATGGAAATACATGATGTTTCATTTAATTTCAGTAGGACATGGTATATTATGTTAGTACGCTACCTTGCACAGTGATAGCAGACCCCACATCTGGCAGCTGCTAATGCAGAGAGCATGCATTTAGGGCAGAAATTAAGTATTATGGAGGGAAAGTATTAATAGTGTTTATACAACATAAACCTTCTTGATGTGCTGCCAGGTTAAATAAGAAGTGTATCTGTAAGGATGTCAGCTTTAGGAAACACACTGAATAAAATATTTAATGTCACTGTTAATGCGTGCTCTCATTTTCACAGCTTATCCACAAGCGGCACCTCACTTATCAGCGTAACAGATTGTTAATATGGTACCTCATTACTTTTATAAAGTCTCTCCCATACACACCCAAAGGTCCCTTATCAGGCAGCATCAGCATTTTGTGTTGTACATTTAGATTTTAGGCCATTTTTAATGGTGTTTCTATCCACAGCAGCTTACGGTGACTAAGCGGGTGAGATTTTAATGTCTTGTTCAGTGACTCATGGTTATTAGACACACTGGCTTGGACCCAACATCCTCACAATAAGTCACTATTTCCTTCACCTATTTCCTAACCCTCTTCCCCTTTCTCTCTCCCTCATTCTGTGTTATCTTCTGTTTGTTCCAAAATGTGAGTTCTTGTTTTGGCATCTGCTCCTACAAAATAATTGATGCCTTGGTTGGCCGTATGTCTGCATATACAGAGTGGATCCATAGAGGCTAATTTTTTATATGGAGGGGGTTCAGTAGAAACCTTTATTTAATGTTTTTTTTTTTTTTTTTTGAGTCCTAAAAAGCAGTAAACTCTATCAATCATCTCTCCTATAATCTTCTCCAAACCCTCCCCAATCTCTCTGACTGGCCCAAAAATTCCTGGCTATCCCTCATCACGCTGCCTCACCCCTCCTCACCCACTCTGCTTCTCTGCCTCCCTCTCTGTGTGTTTATACAGAGGTTGGTGGGGAATTAGCATTCTGGCGTGATCCATTTGTTCTGATGTGGTTCAGCGGGAAGGTCCTGCCTTGATTTATTACACTTGTCAGTTAAACTTGTGGAGGTACATTGTTAATACACAAAGGCTGGGTACCGTATGGTGCGTGTGTTTTTGCCTCTGATTTTGATCGGTTGTTTTATTAGCGATCATGCCACAGAGTGACTTCTGTACATGGTGAAAGACTCACTGTTGATGGAGGTTTATTATATATGGCAGAAGTTATGAGAAAGATACACATGAGGAAAATGCAAGATTATTATTATGAGGGCCATATTGTTGAGGTTGAATGATTGATAATACACTATAATGTCATGTTAAAATGATCCCAAAACTGAACTTGGAAATGAAAATAACTTATACAGTAAACTTTATGTACGGAGCATATTAATTCCTATGATTAGGATTATTTTTATGCTTTTTCTTGTATTAGTTCAAGTACAACACCAGTTGTATGTGTACTGCTATTGCCTTATAAATGTAAATTTCTTCACGTCGTTTCTTTTTTCTTTTTCTTTTTTAAATTCTTTGTCTATTTGTACTTATTTCTGTTCTTGTGCTTCTGCTATAACACCCGGATTTCTTTGGGTTTTGAACTGCTGGTCAGACAAAACAAGTAATTTAAAAATATCATCCTAGACTTTAGGAAATTGTCACAAGCACTTCTCTTTATTTTATAGATCAATTGATAAATCAATTGTGAAAATAATCAATAGAGGATTCACTGAATGTTAATATATAGTTGTTAGTTGCAGCCCTATTGCAGAGGAAATATAGAAGTAGAAGCAATTTGTGAATCATCGGTTTTGACATTTATCTCAA